TATATTTGTCATTTTTATTCATGCATTTATCAGACATTTATTGTAGGTATCTGACTGTATGAGACACTATGGATCCAGTACTGTGTAAAAGTAGTCATGTCCTTGTGCTCATGGAGCTTAGGGGAGTCAGAGATTAATTAAACTATGGCATAAAAAAGTGCAAGAGTGCTAAAGTGACAGTCACCACATAAAGACTAGTGGTGATAGGAGGGCGTTTTACATTAGTAGGGAGGGTTTGTCCTGGTTGAGGAGGTCAGGGAAGGCCTTCCTAGGCAAGTGACACTGGTGTGGGAATCTGAAGCGGAAGGAGGAACTGACTAGATTAAGAGGACAGGGTAGAAAGAAGGTCTTGTCAGAAGGAAGAATGCGTGCCAGACAAGGCCCAGGGTGGGCAGTGTAGCATGAAACACTGAACTGAACTGAAAAAGCGGTCAGCAGAGCAAAGAAGAAAATGTGAGTGGTCTAGTCTAGTTGCTTTTCTCTCTCTCTCTTTAAGTTCATTTATTTTTAATTGGAGGATAATCACTTTACATTATTGTGTTGGTTTCTGCCATATAGCAACATGAATCAGCCATAGTGATACATATGTCCCCCGCCTTGAACCTCCCTCCCCCCCCCAGATTGTCATAGAACACTGAATTTGAGCTCCCTGTGTCATATGGTGAATTTCCACTGGCTAGCTAATTTTGCATATGGTAATGTGGTAATGTGCATAATGTGGTAATTTTGCATATGGTAATGTACAAATATGTGTTTCCATGCTACTCTCTCAATTCGTCCCTCCCTCTCCTTCCCCCACTGTGTCCACAAGTCTCTTTTCTATGTCTGTGTCTCCATTGCTGCCCTGCAGATAGGTTCCTCAGTACCATCTTTCTAGCCTCCATATATATGCGTTAGTATATGATCCTTATTTTTCTCTTTCTGAGTTATTTCACTGTATAGAATAGGCTCTCGGTTCATCCACCTCATTAGAACTGAGTCAAATGCGTTCCTTTTTAGGGATGAGTAATATTCCTTTGGGTATGTGTACCACAACTTCTTTATCCATTCATCTGTCGATGGACATCTAGGTTGCTTTCATGTTAATTTCTTTTTTATGTTCAGAACAGCAGTAAGGTATGTAGTGTGTGTGTGTGTGTATACAGGTATACACACGATTAGGTGTAGATTTAGAAAATATCACTCTGGTTGTCATGTAGAAGATAGATGGGGCAGCACAAGAAGAAGCCTGTGCAGTTTTCTGGGGAAAGACAATGGTAGCTGGAGAAGGAGATGGGTAGACAGATCAGAAGTATAATCAGGAGATTAAAAACAGCAGGACTTGGTGTTGTACTTAAAACGTTACACTCTGGCTTTGCTCTTAGACAGCAATTCAGGGGTGTGGAAGAAACCTGTAAATTCTGAATACAATCTGAGAAATATGTTGTTGCTACTACAAGCACAAGATTATGGTTTGGAAGCACTGAGAGAGCTCTGGAAAGGCTCTACTCTAAAGTGGGGGAGGGGGGCAAACATTTGATCCAGCTCCTGGAGGACAAGCAGGATTTTACTAAGTGAAATTTTAGGTAGAAGGACAGCATCTATACAAGAACAGTGAAAATATATTTGTTCACTTGTTCATTTATACATTCACCTGTACCTATTTTTTGGTCTCTCTATGTGCCAGGCATGATCCAATGAACCAGCCATCACATTCTAAATAAGCAATATGATATCTGGGAATGGCAGTGCTTGGGAAATGGAAAATCTTCCTGCCTGAAAGTGTGGGCTACACAAAACGTCCTGCCTGAAAGTGTATGGTGGGAGATATGAGCTTTGATTTCTGTGTCAGAGGCTTATGGTTCTTAGAAGTTCTTCTGCAAGGGACTTTGAGCAAGACAGGTCTGGAAGCAGAGTGGTGGGAGGTTGGGCCTTATGCAGTAGGTTGTGCAAGTGACTTTGAACCTCATAGCTGCAGGAGTAAGATGGGAGAATAGGGCTCCAGAGGTATTTGTGAGGGGTGGTCAGTAGGACTGGAAGAGCACCTGCACAGCAGGGAGAGAGAAGGCATGTGAGTCACCGGATTTTCTTGCTTGGGAATCTGGGCAGATGATGATGTTATCCACTGGGCAATATGAGAAGATCAGAAATTTAAGGATAGAGATAAGGAGTTTGTCTGGATATGAGGCACTTGCGGTTCACTTACGGGTAGGTCTTGAGGAATCTCTCCATTTCAGAGCAAGAATTATGGCCTCAGAGGAGAGGTGAGTTTAGGCAGATGCGGATTTAGGAGCCCTGGTAGTAAGACATTATTTGATAAATAATGCTTTGAAGGTGTGAGTATAAAGAAGGAAACTGGCCAAAAAATGGGGCCTCGGAATACCTGAACTTTTAAAGAAAGGAGACAGAACTGGTGATGGAGTAGTCTGGGGTGTTCAACAGGCAGGCAGAAGGGTGAGGTGTCACTGAAGCAAAAGGAGAAAGAGTAATGAGAAACATGGTGTGAATGGTCAGTGTAATCAGAAGCTACCTGTAGGTTAAGTGCTAAGAGGACAAAGTAGTTATCAGTTCAGGAAGTTTGGGTGTTATTGGGACCTTTGATAGAATAATTTAACAGTGTGAGAGAATTTGTGGTCAAATAGCAATTGGACAGGAACGAGGAGAGACTGAACAGAAAGGCTGAACAGGATGCAGGCTGCTTTTTCAGAGGAGTGGTAGTGATGAGGAAGACATAGGAAGGGGGAAGAGAAAGAAGGCAGGATTTATCCAGAAAGCTTTTCCCTCTTCTTTTTAATAAGCATACGTGAAACTAGGCCACATGTGCAGAATGAATGAAAGGGATTTGTGATTTGTGGAGAGGGAGATATTGAAAAGGTTCAGGAAACTGGTTAAAAACTGGAAGAATAAAATAAATGAAGAAGAGATATCTGGAAAGATCTGATCTGAACTCATCAGGGGCCAAGAAGAGGAGGTGAGACAAAGGAACAAAGGATGAAGGGTACACATCGTCTGTTCAAAGTTCGGTTCAGTGCTGGCTCCTCTACTCAGGAATGCTTTCTTAGGACATGAAAAGTACTGCAAAAATAAGATTTTTTTTTTTTATGGCATCTGTGTCAGTACAGGCTGATTCATAAAAGCATGTGGTAGAAATGGACATCCTGTGACTCAGGAAGCTGAGTTTCAAAAGCAGCTGCTCTGTCTCTGGGATTATTGCTGTCAACTCGGATCAACCCTCTGTCACCACAGGAAGTTCTCCTGGGAGGCTGAGCACCCAATGAGGGGTCAGTCACATTTTCTGGATTTAATTATATTAAGGTGAATTATTTGTACCTGGTACCGATGACTTTAGAATGATTTCTATGCAATTTTACAGACTGGTTAAAGGGGCAAGACCTACCCAATCATCATCACATCTCTGTTAATTTCAGGCAGGGTAATGACTGATCCATCCAGGAATACACGTTGAGCCGAAAGCTCTCCTACACTCTTTCTTTCCTGTTTTCCTTGGTGAGCTCTGCTCAGATGAGTGCCCCATCTTGCAATTCCTGTGCATACTGAATGTCTTCAAGAAGGTAAACCCTGAAGATCGCAGGTCTTAAACTGGGCTCCCATCCAACAGGGAGCTGCTTGCATGGAGATCACATAAGCCATCCCCCACTATACAAATGCCTCCCTTGATATACAGATGAGGAAACCACAGATTTCAGAGACAGACTGATTTAATCAAGTGACACAGTAAAGTTTATATTAAAACTAACTAACATAGGATTCTGACCAATCTCTTCTAACCAAGTGACTTAACCACTGAAATATGTTGCTACTTTCTCTGCTTTGTGTTTCTTTCATTAATGGATTTATTTCTCACTTCCTCGGACCTGGGCAAGTATTCTTTCTAAAAGGCAGGTGAAAGAATCAAGATAAAAATTTACTGGCTTAAAGAAGGAAAAACATATATACCTGAGGAAGGGGTGTTGCTTATTCTTATAATGAAAAAAAAAAAAAGTTCCCTTCTGTGTAATCCATCTATCTATTGGTGTACTTACTGGCACTTAAGTTCTGGATTCTGGCTGCAACTATGGTGAAAAGTATTTTTTCCATTTCTTAAAGCCTGGGGGATGGGATCAAATACCTTCAAAAGCAGGGTGGGTTACCATAAGCATGAAAGAATTTGCTGGGTTTTTTTTTATTATTACTTTGTACCCCACTTTGAGAAAAGCTTATTTGGGGAAACCCATACATTAAGCTAGCCCAATAAAACTCAAATGTTGAAGATCTTAAAAAAAAAAAGCAAATATTTACATTAACAAAGTCTATTCTTTTCAAAGGAAATCTTCTTCAGTGCTCTAAACTTTCCCAATACTTCTGAATGATTATCTGTCATTTACTACTTGTCAGCATGGCTTAGGGACAAGAAGTTCACAAAATCTCTAAAGCACAAATGTTAGTCCCTGCTGTCAATTAAAAATTAATCAGAAATAATAGAGAGTATCTTTAAAAAGAATGGATGTCAGCAGAGAAAATAGGCTTTGGTTTATAAAAATTCCACTCACAGGTACTTAGGGAACAAAAGAAAGAAAGTGAAAGTGTTAGTAGCCCAGTCTGACTCTTTGCAACCCCATGGACTGTAGCCTGCCAAGCTCCTCTGTCCATGGGATTCTCCAGGTAAGAATCCACTGGAGTGGAAGCCATTCCCTTCTCCAGGGGATCTTCCTGACCCAGGGATCAAACCCGTGTCTCCTGCATTGCAGGAAGATTCTTTACCATCTGAGCCACCAGGGAAGCCAAATTTTGTACCAAAATTGTGAGAATTTTTTGGATTGACCTTATGCCTATTTCAGTGGTCACATGCTGAAAGATTCCACAAGTTTAGGAAATATGGAAAGGAAACGCAATTGGACAAGATGCAAAACCTTTGCTTGGCATGTCATTCTAGTTCCTAAGCATAAAGAATCATGCTAGATGTGATCTGAGGTTGCTGCCTATAGCCATTCAAAGGACCCACGCGCTCTTCAGGTACATACATTTTCTCCAGGTCGCCAAATCCTGAAAAGGCTCCTTTTGGGATGACTCGAAGCTTGGTGAGAACAAACCTCCTGAAAAGAGAGTGAACAGAAAATATCACAACCTATCCATTCATCGATTAGTCATTGCGTGCCTAAGGTATAGCAGCAGATGACAGCCAACGCATACTATTGCTTGCCATTTAGTAACGGTTATAATGGCTTCTCCACGATCCCTTTCCACCCATATCACAAAGCAGTGATATGGGCACTATTGTCATCCCTCTTTTTCATAAGAGGGAACTGAGGTTTAGGGAGGGCTTAAAAATTTGCCCAGGGTCAGGTGGCTAACATGTGGCAGAGTTAGGATATGAGCCTTCTGTTCATCACTACTCGATGTTGCCTCCTCTAGCCCTATGTGTCTCCTTCTTTTTCTCTACTCCAATTCTCAATACCTACTCCCTGTTTCCTCAGCTGACTTTTCTTACTTCAGAAAAAAAGAAACCAGTAGAAGAGAACATCCTCATGCTCTCACATGGCTCCCAGCTAACCTCCCACCTGCACCTGGGCTTATTATACACCCTGCCCCACTTCCTGTTACTATGGGTGAGCTGTCCAGGGTCCTGACTAAAAACCAGCCCCTCTGATCCACACCATATCTCTTCCCTTGCCTTGTGAAGGTAGCCGCTACAGCCGTTTCCAACTTTCTTTCATACATTTCATTCACCTACTTTTTCTGCTTTATTGGATCCTGCCCATCAGTATACCAACATGCCTTAATTTCTCCCATCTTAGAAAAATCTTAACCTCATCCATCTTTAGCTTTTGCCATTTCCTTCTGCTGGAAAAATTTGTCTCATGCTTGCCTCAATATTCTTCTGATGGCTTCTCATCTTAGGAAGACAAAACAAAACAAAACAGATAGTCTATAATGGCCTTCAGGATCCTGCAGGATCTCCCCACTCTCCTTTCCCATAGATCCTCTAACTTCAATTTTGACACCTCACACCACTGATTGTTTCATTCTCTTCACAGTAATCTCTTACTATTCTTTGTACGGGCTAGGTTCCTTCTTGCCTAATATTTCTGCATTTGCAATTCTCTCTTCCTGGAGAATTCTTCTCTCATATTTTCCTGGCTTGCTCCTTCAGCCAGCTGCTTGCTCAAATGTCACTTTCTTAGTAAAACTTTCTCTAACTACCCTATTTAAAATGACAGCTTCCCCAACTTAGACCGTTAGCCTTAGCTTTCTTCAGAATACTTCTGATATGTTTAATCTTATATTTATTTATCTACTTATATATTAATATACTTACTTATCTTTTACCCAAAACTAGAATGCAAGCTCTGTGAGGGCAGGGATATTTATCTGATTTGCCTACTGCTGTATACCAAATGCCTGGAACAGTGAATGATGTATGACACACATGCAGAAAAATGTTTCTTGAATGGCTATTGAAGTCTGAGAGTTCTAGGCTTGAGGGTAGAATTACAAGTGACCCTTTGGGAATCTATAACAGGAGTCCTATTTCTGCTCCCTCTCACTTTCCTTGCTTTGCAATTGGTTAATAGGGATTTGGTTTTCCCCCTACTGTAATCCTTCCTTGTGCAAGGCAGTCTGTTAGTGGGCATTCAGTGTGGACTTGAATAGTTTCACAGACCTTCTTTACATTAGTCTTCTATTTTTTTAAATTGGTATCAGTGAAATTCCTGTTTCGTAAAGTTATTGTTCAGGCAAGCAGTTCTTTTTTTCCCACTTTGTTTGTTTGTTTGCCTTTCGTTGTTATGTCCTCATCAGTTCCAGGGTGAGGAATCATGAGAGAGAATTCTGTGTACTGTTCTTGCTCTGGAGGATTTTATACACATGGGAAGGCAAAAAATAGAAGCCTTGGAATCACAAGAAAACAGATGTGGGATACAGTTGATGTAACAACTATAAATGTTATACAAGGATTAAAATGTAAAACCCCCATAGTACATAAATAAATATATATGAGGAAGGTTGGAAAGAGTGTGTGAGCTTGAGCCTGGGTCTCAAAACTATCAGAACATATTGATGCTAAAAGCATAGTCTCTATGAAAGTATTTGATCTAATTTAGGGTTGAGTGTAATGGTTCTGGAACAATGTAACTTATTGAATGCTCATCTGAAAAGAATCAAGGTCAGTTCATATTCTCTTAATGTTCTCACTTAATCTTAGCTAAAGTAAACAAATTCCTTTTGTTCCTATTTATTACAAGACAGAAAAATCATGAAAACAAACTGGTAAAAGCAAAGAATAAAATTGTTTTAAACTACTTAGTCTAAAACTTCAAGGGAGTTGAAATACTAAGGTAAATACTAGTTAATAAGACAATGCAAAGAGTGGAATCTTGTATAATTGACTTTATTTGATAATGAGTCAACCAAATAGTTCTTTTGGATTCAACTTTAGTATCAAGCACATATTCTAAAACTTTTAATGTCTATTCCTGTATTAAGTGGGTCAAACTAATTAATAAAATTAAATCTTATTGAAGATTTAAAGTCTTCCATCTCCTGAAAGACTATAAATTAGATCCACTAAAGATCACCCAGAAGTCTTATGTAAAACATAGCCAATATTGTTTCAGTTGCATAGCTGAGCTTATAAAAAAAGGATAAGACATTTCTAGGGACCTAGAGTGTAATAACTGAATACCAGATGGAAACTGGAGTCATGAATGCAAACAGAATTCTAAGAAGGTAAATTGAAGTCAGTGCACTCTGGGAGTGTCGGGTTGGGGGAGGAGGGGATAAAGAAAAGAAGTTGGGGAAGGGGTATCTGGACTTGGTAGACAAAGCATTTGTGTTTTGATCCCATGAGTTGAAATAGGGAAGTTGGAATGCAAAGATTTATTTATGTATGTCATTGTCTGTCTACCTACCTATCTATCTACCTATCTATCATATGTGTTTTCTAGAAAGAAAGTGGAGAACATCAATTTTCAATGGAATAACATCTGGAGAATTTCCATAATTTATGAAAGACATAAATGCTCAGATTCAGAAACCTCAGTAAGTCTCAGGAAGGGAAACAGACAAATCCATTGTCAGATACCTGTGAATTAAACCTGTAGAGCCAAAAAAGAATTTTTTAAAAATGCAATTTTTTTTCCTTTATCTTCAAAGGAAAAAAAAATACAATTAGAAAGCTTGGTAAAAATAGCTTCAAAATTATTACAGAAAATAACTGCCAGTTTAGAATCCTGTCCCCAGAAGTAGTCATTCAAATGTGGGGGTAAAATAAAAAGACTTTAGAAAAGTTTAATTCACCCTTAACAAAGTTTTAGCAAAAAATTTCCCTTAGAAAATAATCCAGTAGGAAGGCTCAAAAACAAGAAGGAGTAGTAACAAAGAAATTAGTACTCCTTATTGAATAGGTAGGTTTATAATGGTTGGAAAACTCACCTATTTAATAAGGAACACTAAAAAAATAGTGACCAAGTCCATTTATGATAAAAAATTTTGACACACAAGGAAAAGGGAGAATATTCTTAATCTGATAAGGAGTAAAATCTATCTACCACTTCAATAAATACATCATACACAGTGATGAAATATTAGACACATTCCTTTTAAAATTAGAAATGAGGCAAGGATACCTGTTGTTGCATCTTCCACTCAGTATTATACTAGGCACCCTAGCCTATACAGTAAGATTTAAAAAAAAGAAGAAGATATATTAAGATTATTGATGAAAAACTGTCATTGTCTATAGATAACATAATTGTCTATAAAGCAAACTCTAACCTAAGAGATCAGTAGTAGAATTAATAAAGTATAGTTGGGTAGATGGCTGTATAATTAACACACTTAATTTTCATTCTTATATTATTTTAAAGTATATCACTGGTAATGGCCATAAAACTTATGTTTAAGGGAAATCACACTGTTGTAAAAATATCAGTTTTAATCCACATTAAAAGAAATCAAATGCAAGACCCATATAAGACATAATAGTTTTTGTTGTTTCTTTTGATACATGTGAATGGAAATTGACTAGCTGGTTAATATTCATATGGAAGAGCAGTTTTGAAGAATAGCCAAAACAATTTTGAAGAAGGAAAACAAGATTGGGAGAATTGGCATAATAGGTGATATGATTTTTATAAAACTATAGTGATTAAAATGCTGTGGTATTGACAGAAATTAAATAGTAGACCAGTGGAAAAGAAAACAAATATAGAAATAGACCATAAAACAAAAGAAAATGACATGTGAGAGAGTAGCATTAAAAATCTATGGAGGAAGACTTTAATAAATCAATAAATGCTTAAAGTATTGATTATCCTTGTTGATAAAAATAAAACCTTTATTATCATATTAAAATCTCAATTCCAGGTTTATTAAAAATCTAAATGGGAAAAATCAGTACTTTAAAACTTTTAAATAAAATGTAACATTTTATTGAGAAAATTGTCTTTTAAAAAGATACTAAAATTGTACACCAAAATTGTAAAGCTAATAGATTTGACTATAGTAAACTTAAAATTTCTCAAAAACAAAGATAAAATGGGGAAATAGACTGGGGAAAGATGTTTGCAACACATACAGCTAACAAGAGTTGGCATCCAAAATACAAAGAACTTTACAAAATGAGAAAAATACAAACAACCCAGTAGAAAAATTGGCAAAAGATAAGAACAGGCAATTCATATAAGAGAAAATGCAAATAGCCAATAAACATATGAAAGGATGCTCAACTTCACTAGTAATTAAGAAAATGCAAATTTAAACAATAATTAGATGCCTTTAAGTAGCCACTAGGCAAAATGTATTAAAGTCAAAGAAACAAATGCCTTTGGATCCAGTTATTTCAAGTCTCTTGGCCACGTATACACCTGGAGACAGGTAAAAGATTAACCACTGCAACATCATTTGTTAAAAAAAAAAAAACAAAACTGGAGACAAATGCTCATAAACAAGAGAATGAATATATGACAGTCACTTCTGATATACTGACACAATGCCAAATTACAAAGCAGTGAAAATAAACAAACTAGCTGGAGCTGCATTCAAAAATCTGGATAAATCCTGAAATCAGAATGTTGAGAAAAAAGTGAATTATATG